AATTAGAAAAATTAGAAAATTAGAAAAATTAGAAAAATTAGAAAAATTAGAAAAATTAGAAAAATTAGAAAAATTAGAAAAATTAGAAAAATTAGAAAAATTAGAAAAATTAGAAAAATTAGAAAAATTAGAAAAATTAGAAAAATTAGAAAAATTAGAAAAATTAGAAAAATTAGAAAAATTAGAAAAATTAGAAAAATTAGAAAAATTAGAAAAATTAGAAAAATTAGAAAAATTAGAAAAATTAGAAAAATTAGAAAAATTAGAAAAATTAGAAAAATTAGAAAAATTAGAAAAATTAGAAAAATTAGAAAAATTAGAAAAATTAGAAAAATTAGAAAAATTAGAAAAATTAGAAAAATTAGAAAAATTAGAAAAATTAGAAAAATTAGAAAAATTAGAAAAATTAGAAAAATTAGAAAAATTAGAAAAATTAGAAAAATTAGAAAAATTAGAAAAATTAGAAAAATTAGAAAAATTAGAAAAATTAGAAAAATTAGAAAAATTAGAAAAATTAGAAAAATTAGAAAAATTAGAAAAATTAGAAAAATTAGAAAAATTAGAAAAATTAGAAAAATTAGAAAAATTAGAAAAATTAGAAAAATTAGAAAAATTAGAAAAATTAGAAAAATTAGAAAAATTAGAAAAATTATAAAAATTGGAAAAATTAGAAAAATTAGAAAAATTAGAAAAATTGGAAAAATTAGAAAAATTAGAAAAATTAGAAAAATTAGAAAAATTAGAAAAATTAGAAAAATTAGAAAAATTAGAAAAATTAGAAAAATTAGAAAAATTAGAAAAATTAGAAAAATTAGAAAAATTAGAAAAATTAGAAAAATTAAAAAAATTAGAAAAATTAGAAAAATTAGAAAAATTAGAAAAATTAGAAAAATTAGAAAAATTAGAAAAATTAAAAAAATTAGAAAAATTAGAAAAATTAGAAAAATTAGAAAAATTAGAAAAATGGTGACGGATCTAATGTTTGTATTTTCAATAGCGAGTCAAAGGATTTATGTAATTTTCTTTGAGATACCACCGGGCTTTCGTTTGAATAAGGGTCTGACATTTACATCAAAATATTATTAATGTAACCAATATTCAACCCGATGGGCGAATCAGAGTATTTTAATAGAAATTATAAAAATCAATATTTTAGAAATATACAGGGTTGTATTATCTTTGTTACATTATACAAACCGAGATGGTAAACCAACTGGTGAATGGCCAATGTTCGACAGCTCAAGTGGGGCACCTTATACTAAGCCACCCATTCTACTAGGTTTAAAACAGAAAGTATATGTGAAATCAACACAATAAGGTAACCAGCAACTGGCGAAATGACGCTGTTCTTTATTTCCGTTGGTCATCACCTCTATACTCGTCCAGGGGCGGATGAGTCCACCGGGAAACCGGCAGATTTCCCGGTGCGCAGGTCCTACAAACGCCGGTAGGCGCAAGTCCTAGAGCAAAAAGGCACCGGTCCTAGCCCCAACATTCACCGGTCCTACCGGCGCCGACTCGCGCAGCCGCGGTATTTTATTTTTTTTGTGACCATTTATGCCGCTCCTATAGGCCGATTCATCCAGCTCTCTAATATAGACCTTTGTGCTGGCAATGACTTCCAAATCGGACATATATTTTTGTCTGCGTGAAATTTTGTTATGTTTGGAAAGAAACTGAAATCCGAAGGGGCTAAGTCTGGCGAGTAGCGGCAGTAATTCAAAGCCCAGTTAATCAATTATACCTATTACTATAATAGGCTTTTGACATTGCGCTTTGTTCTGATGGAACAAAACTTGTCTTTTCGATAATCCAAGTCTTTTCTCCAATATTTTCTGTTGCAGCTGATCAAGAAGCAAGTCAGCATATTACTGTCCATGTATTGTTTTATCCTTTTCAAAACAGTCAATAAAAATAATGTATTTTGCATCCCAAAATACCGACGCCATAACCTTTCCTGCCGATGGAACTATTTTTACCTTCTTTTGGACTGATTCGCCTTTCGTTATCATCACAACCCCACTATAGGGTCAGTCTGCATATTATTTATTTACATTCTCGTGTATGAGTATGGTGGATTTAACACAAATAGAAAATGAAACGTCTTATATCTCAGCAGTCGGCACCTCAGAGGTAAGGTGTGTTAAGTCACATTTTTCAGAGAAAATAGTTTTCGCCAGTTGTGGATTTACCGTACTAAATTCTATCTAGTAGAAAACAGATTTAACTTCCTAGTTTCATCATTTCGCCAAAAGATGACGGTAAGTCAGAAACCAAGTATTGTAAATTTGGAGTTATTAGTTTTAAGTCACATCAAAATCAAAATTTTAGGACAAAGTAAAAAATCTAACAAAAAATCGAAATAAATTGACCAAACAATTGACGTTTGCAAAGACCCCAATAATTTAGTAAATTCGCCGTTTCTATACATTTTTTATTTAAACAATAAGTGAGTTTTAAAATTCCTCTCCTGACAAATGTAGATTTGGGGACTTTATAACACACCTTACCTCTGAGGTGCTGATATGTTAATGTTAATGTCACAACGTCAATCTCACAACATTTATCTTACAATGTTAATCTCACAATTTTAATACTAATATTACAACGTTAATATGTTCCACACAATGTTAATGTTACTATCACAATGTTATATAAACGACCTTTTATTGTCCTGTCAAATAATTTAATTTACATAATATCTAGTTACACAATTCATTAAAAGATTATAAAGCAACAATGTGTACAGATAAATAAAAAGAGATAGCGTAATAGTATTGGCTATTTTTAAGGTAGGCCATTACCCCCATATGTCCCCCTCTGGCTACGGCCCTGAACCAATATTTAATTCTCAAAGAAACTGTTATTTTGACTACAAAACTTTAAAATTAGGAGTTTCTTAACAAAATTAAGAGTTCCTTTTTGTGTATGTTTATATGTAATAATAATTATTGTAGGTTTTTTACTTATCTGTTTTTTTATGTAAAAAAATATAGTTTGTTTTTTATTTATCAGTTATTATAAAATAATTTGTGGTTAATTTATTAATAAAAAAAATAAAATAAATAAAAATATAAACATCAACACAGTAGTTAACCAACTGGCGAACTGACGCTGTTCGTTAACTTCATTGGTCATCAAACTAAATAAAATATATCTTGATAGCAAATGAACCTGGTCTGCGTTCGAACGGGACTCAAGTGAAATCTCAGTAAATAGTACAAATTAATTGTAATATACTTTGCTAATTATTGCATTACATTTAAAGTATGAAAAATAAATTGTCTTAAATATAATTTTGTATGGTTTTATTTATCAATTTGCACCAAATTTTGCATCGAATCCTGGTTTACCTTAATTAACATTATCACAACGTGGGTAGGTATATAAATTATCAATTAAGTAACTAGACGATCACTTCTACTACTAGAGGAAAAAGGCCAAACACAGTAAGTATAGAATTTAAAGTAAAATAAAATTAAGAGGTAAATAATACTAAAATTTCAGACGTTAAAAACAACTATCAAAAGTGGTACTGGGGGGTGGTTCGTTACAGTATTGATTAACAAATCATGGCATTTTTGTCTTCAGCAATAGATTTGCTATATTGTATAATATAATATAAAGTGGCCAAAACCGCCCCTATAGTGGGGCTAAGCCCCTGTTCGCTCTCTAGATCCATATTTTGGGTGGATCAATCTCATTCTCTTAGATATGTAAGAATGATTTTATTTTCTATACAAATTTAATAAGTTTTATTTTACGAAACACCCGGTTTTTAAACGCACGAAATATTTGTCTCCCAAAACAGTTACAGCCTATGTTTATGTTAACACTATTAAGATACGGAGATATCGGATTACGAATATGGGAACTAAGGGTAAAGTATCAAGCAGGCATAAAATACAGATCATTTTAAATTTGAGTTAGTTGCTTTGTGGAACAAAATTAAAGTTCGTTGAAAGTTTGCTGAATAGGGTGAGTTTTTCTCACTGAGTAATTATGTTTTATCAATTAGTTTTGTTTTAATTTGTAATCAAGTTATTTTGCAAATTATATTACCCAATTATTATCCATCAACCTTTTATAATTAATTTAACAATTCTGACGTAAAGATATTTTGTCAAGTATTGAGAAAACCTTTTATCCTAAATTAACGGGGTTATACTAAATAATTAAAACTTATTTGAATTTGACTATTTACTTATATTTTGTTTTCCTCTACGAGGCGTAATCAAAAATAAAGTGAGTTAGATTGTCTGTTCTAACGTAATACATTGCTGTCAGTGTATGCGTTTATTTTGGGAATACTGTGGTCAGTTTTCCAGAGTCGTCGCACCATGGTTGGTGCGGACTAGTAACATTGCGGTTAGTGTGCTAGTAATGGCTTGTTTTATATATCGATCGATGTTTGGGCATTGCGGTCAGTGCTAATAGAATTGAGAGTATAACTTTTTGTCAATTATAGAAAATTTAAAGTTATGTCAATTATATTTTTTTTATAATCAATATTTTGACAAAGAGTTATCAGTATATTTTTATTGTTAATTAAAAGGATAATAAGTATTTTGTTTATGAATATCACCTTCTTATAACTTTCTTTAATATAAAACTGCTTTTGGTAAACTTGATGGCTCATACTTGTTTTTCTTTTTATTTCAGGTACGCCATCTCATACGTGCATTAATTAGGTATTTTATCTATTTTATTTTACTATTATTTTATTTACGTTTTATTGTTTTTAATCATTTAATACTTATTTCTCTCTAATTTTATTTTGTTCTAAATTTTACCTTTCAATTTAAAGTTATTAAATCGTTTATTGAATTAATTTCTAGTTATTCCTGACATTGATTAAATAACTAAATATTACCGCCCAAGTTTATAATAGATATTTTTAAATTACAAATATCGTCCTATAGATAATACTCTTTACAATATGCCCCTCCATTTTTCCCTATCCTGTACTTTTTTTGTTGTATATTTTTAAAAAATCTTACCGTTCAAGTTATATATAGAGTCGTATTTATGCCCATTATAATAGGCGATGCTGTTGGTGCTCGAAATCAACATATTTCTCTTTAAAAACCACTATCTATATAAACTAAAAAACATTGAGATTGTTTACAGTTTACAATATTCAACTAAACATTAAAAACTTCCTACTTGGTCTTAAAGGGGACACGAACAGAACTAATTTTAAAAGATCGTGATAAACTTATTGTTTTTATTCCCTTATCAAATGCAATGTCTACAATGTTTACACAAAGTTTATGTTTTTAAAATAATATAAATCTTAAGGATCATTAATAATAAAGACTGTCATAATTGTTAATCCGGATATAATCGCAGTAATACATGGCTAAATCTAAACACTATATGTATAATAATATTAATAAATTAAGATTTCTCTTTTTATATGTACCTACCTATTAACTATTTATCTCTGGTTGATATAATTCACAAAATAAATGGCACGATTCACTTATTCTTTTTGTACATACGTTAACCGCCACAAAAAATGGGACAGGTTTAAAATTTTATTAATACGAGGACTTATTTATAAATTCTTACCCTGCTGCTAGAGAATACAAAATTTGAGAGGAAACATATTTTATTGTTCAACATAATTTGTCTATCTCTTTGTTGGAAGACAATATATGAAATTTTACATTTTTTTTTAGTGTAGGGAAGATATTTGTATAATAAATTGTAGAGGTTATTTCAACTGCTCAAATGTAGCCATTTTCATAAGAGCAAATAAAATCTCAAAATCAGTTCTACATAAAACGTTTTATTAACTAAATGTTAAAAAAGGCAGCCGGTTTCGACTCGACAGCCATCTTCGGGCCTAAAAGGAAGATACATAGGGTTAAGAAATGTACAAAAATTGTACCTTAAAAAATTTAACCTAAACTGTAATATATTATATTAGGGTCAAGTTGATGATTGTGGTTAAAAAATAATTATAATTAAAATAAACCTAACACCCCCCACTCCGACCGGCACAGCGGTGCGGCGTTGAAAGCCGTGCATCGTCTAACGTCGTTTCAGTTCGGCAGACTTCGGCACGATGTTTGTGTGCGTGCGACTAGACGTATGCATGTAGACTAGCTGATAACTGATGCTATCTCTTTTAGACACAATTTCGGAAAAATTGAATTTGAAAATGATTAATGATCCACAAGAATCCACAACAAAATATGGAACCACCATTGACGCGGTATTTTCCAGATATTTAGAGGATATCAAGTCTCAAACGTATGTTTCTTATTTCAGTTACCATAAACCTATAGTTTCAATGATAAAAATTCCTGAATAACCTACATGTATTGTAAGATAATAAAAATATTTTAAACAATATTAAATTCTCATTTATTCAATAAGAGAAAAAAATTTGTTTTCTTATCGGTCACCACGCTCAAAAAGTGTAACTTGAATTAATATCAAAGAAAAAATTTGAATTAATATCGAAGAAAAAAAAATAGTGCATAAATAAAGTAAATAAATAATTATAATTGCATAAGTTGATAAAAAATGCTATGCAATAGCTTTACCGTGGCAGTCCCCGAGTGCCACACGTATTTCTTTTTATTTTTTTTTGTTTTTTAGTTTTATTTTGTTTAGAAAATATGAAAATTGAAAAATACGATTATTGTTGATTATTTTTTTAAATACATTTTAATTATTATAATAGTAACCTGGTTTTACATTTTTTGATGAAATTATTTTGTGGTCGTAGGAAAAATATTGTACATCACTTGTGTGAAAAGTGATTTTCCACACTCGTGTGATATTTCCCACTCTTGTGAAAAATGTCACTTTCCACACTCGTAATATACTATTTCTCACAAACATATCAATTTACATACCTATGTGTAATCTAATGTAATAATTTGTACTAAATTATTTTGTTCAAAATGTTACATGTCGTATATATACATAAATGCATGACCGGTCATTGAAATGCGCATGTTTTTTAGGTAGGTAGGTAGGTATATCTGGTGCATTATTTTTAGTAGCGTTTCAATGTTCAAAGGCGGCAATATGTGTTTTATGGAGGTGCCTGTGGCATTTTTTTTTTGTGGAAAATAGCAGGTATATTGTGTCGTTTATAATGAAATTGAGTTATTATATGTGTGTTTTGTATTTCGATAATACGTTTGAGGTGAAAACATTAATTTTTGTTCTTTTTTCAGGTCATGCTTTATGGGGCCCTGAATTTTAAGGCCGTGGATCATCGTTAATAACAGATATTTTGTGATTTTTATGATGAATTTGGGTTATTATATGTGTGTGCAATATTTCTATAATACATTTTTGGTTTCGGTTATGAGTTTGTGTAATAAAATTATGGCTATATCTAACGTATACGTTTAAATTACTTTTCTTTATTCCCCCAAATATTTTCGACGTTTTTTTTTGTATTTGTCTACTTAAGGTGGAACCAAATGTAAAACTTTTTTATTATTGGTTTTGTGAAAAAATTTATGGTTGATAAAAAGTTCTACGTGGTCCCAAACTTAAAATACAATCACCAGATATCAATTTTTTAAGCCGTATACAAGGTTTGTTAAAAAATATGAATTTTACTAAAGAGTGAATAAGTACCTCTATTTTTTACAATACACCTAACCTGAATTTTCATATGACTGTAATTGCATATTTAAATATAATTTTTAATTTAAAATAACTTTGCTTCATAACATTCTATTGTAAAAAATAAAGGTAGTTTACTTGAGTAAAATTCATATTTTTTGACAAACCTCGTATGCGGATCAAAAAAATTGATATCTGATGGTTGCATTTTAAGTTTTGGACAATGTAGAACTTGTTTCAAGAATATATTTTTTCACAAAACTAATAACAAAAAAGTTTTCCGTATGCTTCCAACTTTGGTACACACTGTATAACTATTACCTACATTTTGCGACGACCCCTTTACATACCTTTATTTATATAATATTTATAAAACTAATGTAATATGAAAAAAGTATTGTATATGTGCTGTAATAATGAAGCATATTAAATGTTACAATGGAATTATAAATGTTGCATATCTTCCGTCATATAACATTGTTCATTACATGTACTTAACTCATTACGTCACTTATGGGGAATCTGCTGTTTTTGACAGTAATCACGTGAGTTATTATATAACTAAGTTACTTTATTATATAACACGGAACTAGTATATGTAAATGATAGGGTAAGGGTGGGCAAAGTGGCCACGCTAAGGAAAAATATTTTTTTTCGAAAAGAAAATATTGAAAATAGCAAATGAAACTTTGACATTAGTTAGTTTGGTTATTTAGCTATAAGCAAAAAAAAATGTTGGCTTAATTAAATTTTCTTAATGAGATGACATAACTAACCCCCAACCCTACCAAATGGCCACTTTGCCCGAAGGGGTAGGGCAAAATGGCCACGGAGTAGCCACTTTGCCCGATATAAAAAACTATATTGTTATCTGTTGCCATTTTATTAATTATTTATCTGCAGATGTCACAAATAAACTCATTATCTTTTTTTTTTGAGTGAGGGTAGCCATATGTGACACTTAAACTCATTATCTTCTTCCTCGCACCCAGCACAAGCCTCGTGTGCCCAGAGTTGACAACTTGAGCATCCTTCTCTTTCCCTTGACTTAGAAAAATACTCCCCACAAAACAAGCATTCACTGTCACTGTGGTTGGTCACTGTCATCGGAATCCTCAAACAAAATACGTTTAGTTGATTTCGATTTGTTTTTCCCTGCAACTTCTCTCTTTTTTGCTTCTTCCTTCTTTTTATCCTTCTCGTTTTTTAATTCTAGTTTGATTTTCTTTTGTCTTTCTTTTTCTTCTCTTTCTTCCTTCGCTGCTTCAAGTTCATTATTGTATGGGCCTGATGTCAAAATGGCCAAGGTTCCTTTTTTCCGGATACTTTTTCTTTTGGTAATGTTTGTCTTAGGGATTGGTAGAATATCTTTAGGACTTACTGCAAATGAGGATGAACTACTAGGCAAGGCGTGTTTGTTTCTCGCAGATGAAGTACTTGGAGTGGAGAGCAGGTTTACAGCACATGATATACTGGGCTTGATGAGTGTGCTTTCAGCTGACGAGGTGACCTGTCTTGATGAATTTCCGTGGATGAGAAAAAATGCACTGTTGGGATCTCCGGAACCTACAGTGATTTTTGCCTTGTTGTTACCATAAAATGATACTACAGGAATCGAATTGTTGGGTTGAGGATCTGCAGATCTGCCGTCAGTCTTATCAGAATTGGTTTCATCTTGGTCTGAATCCTGTGACTCACAATTAACATCAACTGGTGGGACTTCAGCTAAGGAGTCCTCTTGGTCCGAATTCTGTGACTCACGATTAACATCAGCTGGTGGGACTTCGGCCAAGGGATTGGAGATATCTGTGGTCGCTGCTGGAGTGAATTCGTCTTCAGAAAACACATTTCTGTTGATTGGAACTATACCACATCTCCGAAATCCTTTTACAGCAATGGTCGGAGTAGCTGCATTCAAAAAAGCTTCCTCAAGAAGGCGGGACACTTGATATTGTGTTACAACCCTACCAGGATTATTTCGCAAGAATCTCTCCACTGCTTGAACATAATAAGTGTTCAGTGACCCCATAAAAGATACATCCAGTGGCTGCAACTTATGAGTGCAATGTGGTGGAAGGCAAACTACAGTGGTGTAAGTGTCCATAGCCTTTACAATGAAATCAAGGCTTTTTTGTGTGTGTAGCGTTTCCATCCAGTATTAGCAATACTGGATCTTCTCTTGATGGTTTGGCATACTTCAGGAAATGTTCAAACCATTGAATAAATATCTCACTCTACATCCACCCTGAGGATTGGCAACAAAATGTCGTCCCAGGTGGAGCACCATCTTTAAGTTCTTCTTTCATCCGCTGTCTCGGAAATATGACAAAAGGAGGGATAAAATTTCCTCCCGCTGACATACAAACTACAAATGTAGAAAGAGTTCCTCTTTCGGCAGATGTAAGGGAGCCAACTTGCCGTCTACCTTTTAGTGCAAAAACTTTTGAGGATTTTGACTGGACAGTCAAAAGTCCAGTTTCATCGACATTGTAAACCCTATGTGGAGGATACAAGTAGTTTTTCTGGGCGTCTTCTAAAATGTCGAAGAATTTTGAGACATTTGTCTTGTTGAAGGCTTGGGCTCTTGCTGCGGAC